CTTGGCTGGTTCTTTCATTGCCATCACCTTGTATGATTGTCTATATGCTTTTGTTTTAAACGATTGATGTTGGACTGGTTTGCCGTTGATGTGCTGGCTAGCAATGGCCCAGTTATGATATACTCCTCGGTATGGTCCATTAAATATGACATACCACTTGCTGCCTTTCCTGTCGTCTTCTTCATAGTGGAAATCTTTTGTTTCTTTTTCTTCTTGTTCAACGATGTCTGCCCATCGTGTCGTCTTTTGTATATTATTGCTGGTAGTGGTGGATGATTGTGTTGCTGTCGACTTTTCTTTTTCAGCAGGTTCTGTGGTGAGTGTTGATGGCTTTCCACTAGTGGAGCTAGTTGTTAATGTACTGACGTTGATGTAGTTGATTTTTAACTGTTGCTTAATGACGTCGATTGATTGAATTATTGCTTCTTCCTCCCCCCTGCAAAGGAGAAGTTGTTGTTCCAGTGCTGCACTCTTTTCCTGCTTCTGCCTTAGTTGATTGATGAGGGTTTTTATGAATCCTTCCATTCTCGAGTCAGTGTGTCTGTGAATGGATTGTTGCTGGACTTGATATACTTCAGATAAGGATTGTAATAATGGAGTTGTTGCTGCCACCTGATTAATCTCCCTTTGTTGAAGTCTGCCTGAAGCTTGTACCTCCAAAAACCTGTTACATATTTAGAGTCGGTTTGAAGTTAAAACCTTGTAGATAATAATTCAAGCTTCCATTTTTTCAATGTTCTGAGACAGGCTAGTGTCTCTAATTCGTGGATCGGATAGTTCTGTTCAGTGGCGGTAAACGTTCCAGAAATATATTTACATAATTTCTTAGAATATTTATCACTGTTGAAAGGAACTGATGTTTGAGAACTTGAAAGTTCAATAATATTGTCCGAAGACTGATAATCTTTAGGCTCTTGGCCAGAGACAGTAGCCTCGTTATTGTCTATTTTGACATTACCAAAATTGTCCATTTGTAATAATTCCTTACCATTTTGTATTGCTAACATACACCCTGCCCAAGTGTCCTTAGAGGCATCCGTTTGAATTATTAGAAAATCGTTTTCACAAGGGTTATATAATTTTGGTAAATGCTGACATTTTTCCTTCATTAATAAAACTATTTTTGTATCTTGATCATTCCATGACCAAGGGATTTTGTCAGAAATCTTTTTCTGTAAATGTTTTCTCTCTTTTGCTAAATCTTTTAAAAATCCTTGTTCGCTTATATAATTTAAGCATCCAAGAAAACGTTGAATTTGTTTTCTATTTTCAAGTTGGTTTGGGAATTTATCGATTTTTTCTTTAGTGTTTGGTGACAACTCAATTTGACCAAATTATTAATCTTCATACCAAGATATTCAATTTCTCTTTGAAGAAGTTTCGATTTCTTCTTAGAGATAATTAGACATTTTTCTTTTATTCTCTGTAAAACTATCAAGATTTTTTCACGATGGTCTTCTTCTGATTGATTTGTGAAAATAATAATATCATCAATGTATGCTAAACAGAACGATTGAAAACCTTCTAATACATGATCCATGAACCGTTGGTAAATAGCTGGTGCTTGTTTCATTCCAAATGGGAGAACATTCCATTCGTAATGTTTTTGTGGTGGACTTGAAAAGGCTGTTAAAAGTTTGGTATTCTCATGTAGACGAAGTTGCCAATATCCAGATTTAGCATCTAAACTACTAAACCACGTTTGACCTTTTAATCTTTCTAATATATAGTCTTTCCTAGGTAGTTTATAGCTATCTCCTATTGTTTGTTCGTTTAGTTTTTTATAGTTTTATCGAAATATTTTCAGTAGCCATAATTTTGTCTATAAGGTGGATATTAGTTCAGCCATTTTAGATACGAGTTAGTATCTGCTAACAAAAGGGCTTGTTAGCATTTTAACTTTTGCACACAAAGACAGAGAGTTCCTTTCTACCAAAAAAAAAAAAAGACAGAGTTCCTGCCAATGCCAGTTAGCTTACCTCCCGTCTACGCCAAGGCAGCCTATCGGGGTCTGATTAGTGATGGCAATTTCAACCCGCCCCGCGGGTATTACCCGACCTGACCCGCGATGGGGCGGGTATTACCCGACCCGCAGTAGCGTGGGGCGGGGCATGGGTATTTACTCCTGACCCGCCCTGCCCCGCCCCGCCCCGTTCTAGACTCATTTTATCTCAATTTCTTACAATATCTATACATATTTCTCCTATTTTGACTTTTTTCAACTAGTTAGAGTCGATTGTTCAACTTGTTAGGCTCAATTATCCATTCTATTATGAATATTTTTCATTCTTAAAGTGTTTTTCCCTACGTTTTATTGTAAAAAGTAAAATTTACTTGTATTTTTTTTGAACAACATGTAAGAGTGGGTCGCCCCGTCCCGCCCCGTACCCGCGCGGGTTTTACCCGCCCCGACCCGTAGTAGCGTGGGGCGGGACATGGGAATTGAGGTACCCGCCCCGCCCCGCCCCATTGCCATCACTAGGTCTGATTAATGTTCAAACTTCAAAGTCAACAAAAAATAATGACATCAATTCACCAAATATCTCAACAGCCTTTGCGTAATTAATGTAATGATAGTGACATTTTGTACACAAATTTCAACGTTTTAGGAGCTGATTAGCATCCTAATTATCATCCCAATTCGGGTGAAGATGACACCTTTTTGTTCTATAGCTCATCTTTATGGAGTTTCTAAAGAACACAGGTATCCTTCCGTTCACACCACTTATCCTGGCTTATAGGATATGATATAATGTGTTAATTTAGGAGTCAAATGAGAGCTTTCCCATTTCTCAATTTCATGTATGAGAATAGAAGTAGTGTCGATTTTTAATTTAAAATTGATATTGTGTTCGATTTTATGAGTGGAATGAATTCGGTAAAATTATTTTCATATTGTTCAGTTTATTTTGATACAACAATATTCTAATACAAGAACCTTTTTTGAATTGGGTCCTTGGGGTCTTTTGGATGAGGTACTCTAACAGATCAATTTGACCTAATTGTTTCGTTTTGAGACAATTTGGCCAAATCGATCCATTTGACAGCACATAATTTAGATGAAACAATTTTGCCTGGGGAATTTCAAATTGACTCATTCCGAGGCAATAACAATTGTCTGGGGTGAGGGCAGACAATTCGGATTGACTCATTTTAAATTACTCATTTTCTAAAATGAAATAATTAGCCAAATTGTCTCATTTTTCAATTGATCCATCCAAACGACCCTCGGTGAGAGTGAAAACTTGTAATTAATATTTAGGATTTCAGATGTTACTAAATTGTTGCATTCCATCTTGATTCCAAAACCCTCAAGACAATCAACATGCTAGGATAGAAGGAAATGCTAAGGTTGTGAATTGTGATTGATAAGGTCGCTTTGGGGAGTACAAGGGATCCGACTTGCGAAGGGAGAAGTTATTTTTTTATGAGCTTTGATATTTATTTGCTTTGGCACTAGGATACCAAAAGTGATTTATGGGTAGACAGAAGAATAAAGTAGGGATAGTAATCGGTCGGTATCCGGTATACAGGATACCGATTACCAGGTATTCGGTATACCGGAAATAGACAGTGTACCCACCGAATACCGATATCGAATGTTAACCGGTATACCGAATATCGGGAAATGGGAATCATCACCTGAAGAGAAGAGAAGAGAAGAGAAGAGGAAGATAGGGGCTTGCTGAAGAGGAACAGGTGCTGGCTGATCGATGGCTCGACGAAGAGGAAGCGGCGGATTCAAGTGGAGCGACGATCGCTGAGAAGAAGGCGCTCAAGGCGACGACGGAGTTGACCTTGTCGCCTGATCGTCCAAGGGATCACGCGTCGATGGGACAGGAATTGACCAAAACAGAGAAGCCGCCGCCGACGGATGGGAATGAGCTTAAGCCGACGGATCGAGACTCAGGAGGGTTTGTCAAAGACGATACTCGCTCGGAGAGAGCTACCGTTCTCGACGTCTTCCATTGCGGCGAGGTCGGGTTGGGAGACGGCGGCTGCTGGCTTGTGAAGAGAAGAGGAAGACGAGGTGTTGGAGCGCGACGTGCTGGGTGTCGCCTTTCGGGATGGAGAGAAGAGAATCAGAGGAGACGAAGTGTGGAGCGCGGCGTGCAGCGACCAGCAGGGAGGGGAGGCTCGATTTCATTTAGTGTTTGCAGTTGCACTTTGCCCCAATCCGCTACGGTGGTTTTTTTTTTTTGTGATTCGGTATTCGGTATAGCGATTTACCGTCGGTAAATTATTGGTCGGTATCCGGTATACCTGTTGGCCAAATATTGCAGCCGAATACCGATACCGCCGGTATTCAGTTCGGTACCCGGTAATACCGTATACCGGTTTACCGAATAGTATACCAACCCTACAATAGAGTGGTTCATGGCTAAAAAATCTCTTTCCTTGGTTTCTTATTGGATGTAATGGGTTTGATATTTGGTAGGGCTGGACAATCTGTTATTGGTTAGTGGTTAACCGATCAGTTACAATCAAAATTGATCCATTATCCACTAACCGAAAACCGAAATGGCCGAAAGTCGGTCGGTGTTCAGAGGCTCGACGAGATGGTTTTGGTATTGAGAGACGGTACGGTTAATCAAAAATCGGGATAATCGAAGTCTTGAACCCTCTTTCAATCAATGGTCGATAACTTTTAGGAGGTGGTTCGGTTAACCATTAACCGAAAATTTGATTTTCGGTTCTACCGAAACTGACCGACCTCCGTTAACCGAAACTGACCGACCTCCACCATAATATCTGGTGATGGCTTCGTTAAGAAGCTATGTCTTGACAAGTGATCCTAATTTTTCTCCGGCGAGACCACTGAGCGACTGTGTGAACCCCACAATATCCCCACCTTAAAAACCCCGCCATTTTGCCACACTTTCAATTCAAACACGCAACAATCCCCATTCTCTTCTCCTCTTTGCTCTTCCAAATCCGATTACAATCCTCTCCACCATTATCCCACTCTCTGAACTGATACATAAACGATAAACCCTAGAAAGCAATCTTAAAAGCATTCAATCCTCCCTCCATTTCTGCTCCCTTTTCCCTTCCATCACTTTACCATGAACCCTTACTCCTTCACCGTCGATTCCCTCTCCAAATCCCAGGACCTCGCCGCCGCCATCCTCGCCTCCTCCACTCCCTCCCAGATTTCCGCCGCCTGCTCCTCCCTCGACGCCTTCCTCCGCTCCCACTCCCCCGACCAGTCCCGCCACTTCTTCTCCCTCGCCTTCCCCGCCCTCATCTGCAAGCTCTACGGCTTCGACGACGCCTCCCCCTCTCCTCCTCCTCCTCCTCCTCCGCCTTCTTCCTCCTCCGGTGGTGGCGGCTGGATCGACGTCGTCCTCCACTCCAACGACGCCGATCTCGCCGCTAGGGTCTTCGACCTCCTCTCCCCCGATGGAGTGCTGTTCCATTTGATCTCCGCCGTCGATCGTCAGTCCCTCGTCAAGTACGTTTTCCCTACCGAGCGGCTGCCGGAGTGGGCCCGGCTGGTTCTCTCCGCGGGAAAGGATTGCCAGGGGTTGAACGCGTTGTGTCCTGTTTTCCAAGGTAAAGTGAGGGAAGCTGGATCGAGTAAGGGCTCTTCTTCTTCTTCTTCGTCGTCGTATCAAATTCAGCTCAATGTTTTCGAGTATTTCGTGTATTGGTTCGCTTACTACCCGATTTGCAAAGCCAATAGCGAGAATTCGAGTGGTGCGATGATGTCGGCGACGAAGAGTAAGACGGTGTCGAAATTGGAGAACTGGGCTTCTTCGATCCCCAGGCTGTCGCATGCTAAGCGTGGGAATGAGCAGAAATTGGAGTGTAATCTTTATGTCAGGCTTTTGTATGCTTATTTGCGTGCCTTTGTGCCTGTTCAGGGTATGGATACTCACCAGCCTTATCGTAGCTCGCTTTTGCATTATGGTTATGGAGGAGATGGTGGCTCTTCCATGATGAGAGCAGAGTTTTTTGTTGATACTTTGGTGCACTATTGGCTCGTTGATAATGATTTCTCACCACTACCTGTTAATCTTTGTAAGTCTGTGGGATTATCATTTTCACTGAGGTCAGTACTGGGTGAGACTCCACCATCGTCTAGTTTGGGTGAGGTAGTCAAGTTGTTGGTTAAGTACTTGAATTGTAGTGCCCGCGTGGCCCAAGAAGGTGTTGGACGAGTTGAAAATGCAAATGGGGGAAGGTTTTCCCCAAGCTCCTTTGATATGAAATCAGGAGAATTGGTTGCTTCTGTATATAAGTCTTCAGAGTTGGTTGGGTCCTGGAACTTGTGCATTCAAAGACCGCTATATCGATTCATTCTCAGAACTTTTCTTTTCTGTCCCATGGGCACTTCGTTAAAGAATGCATCTCAGGTGTTCTCTGTTTGGGTTATGTACATGGAACCATGGAAGATTGCAATGGATGATTTTCTGGAGCTCGATACGAATGTTGGTTCTTCTGGGATAGATATGAATAAGAAAGTTGGACAAAGCAGACAATGTGGGTATCAATCTTCGTGGGAAGGCTATGTCTTGTCCAATTACTTGTACTACAGCTCATTGATTATGCATTTTATTGGATTCGCACATAAGTTTCTTCACACTGATCCTGTAGTGATTGCGGAGATGGTGTTAAAGGTTCGTAATTGTGTCTTGATTTTTTCTATGTGCGTTTTAGTTACTTTCTTCCTCCAGCATTTTAGTTGTTCTGTTTCTGGGTACCATTTTTTGTGGGAGCTATAATCTGTTTGTTCTTGAATTCTATAGTTTAATTGGTTTATTATTTACAGGTTATAACAGTATTGACATCAAACAAAGAGTTGATAAATCTGATAAAGAATGTGGATAAAGTCTTTCATACCAAACAAGCTGGATCTGGGAAAGCCATGCTCATTAGTTTATACAAATATGTACCCTTAATCAGAGATCAGTTGCAGGTATGAACCACTTGGATTTTTTCTCACCATGGTTCCTGCCACTGTAGTGTGGCTACTGATCTCTACTTTGCTGCAAATTCTTAAAGTAATTGTAATTGTGGATCAAAACCATTGGTTCCTTTACTTTTGGCTTCTGGTAAATAATGCTAGTTGAAGTAGTTTGTCTCAATTGTTTGCACATCGTGCAATTATCCTAGGACTGCGTTCACCCTTCACTCTCTGATGCTTGCATCTGGCCTTCCATCTCCTTGTGGTGCTAGGATTGGGAGGATGGTCTGTGTGAGAGTGATGCTGATGGATCTTACTTGCATGAGAACTGGAACAGAGATCTGAGGCTCTTTAGTGATGCAGAAGATGGAGGACAACAATTGTTACAGGTTTTTATGCATTCTTCTTTTATTTTGCAGTCTTTTGGTTGCAATTGCTGATTGGTTGTGGAATAGACTTCATCAGTTATCATGGTTTGTTACTGCAGTTGTTTCTATTACGCGCAGAGTCCGAATTGCAAGCCAACTCTGGCGTTAATTTTTCACAAAACCTGGAGCTTATAGAGTCACTGAAGGAGCAAGTGAGCTGTTTATTTGGTTGCTATGCCATGAGATCAATTTCTTTCACACCGGAGAAGAAACAACTGGCAGAGCATACTCGAGATGATATATTCACCCCCAGAAAAGTTGGAAATCACACCTTTGCTGATGTCAAGTACAAGGGTGACTGGATGAAGCGTCCAGTATCTGCAGATGAGGTTGCATGGCTTGCAAATTGGTTTGTCTGCTTGTCGTGTTGGCTAAATGAGACCCTTGGGTTGGATCGAGCTGAAAATGGCGATGTGAGCTCGAAGTGGTCTTATGTCGAGGTTTCTAGCTACTCAGCAAATATTGATGGACCTACAGAAACCATGAAGACTATGTTGCATGCTATCTGCTCATGGCTCTTAATACTGGGTGCTACGGTTGTTGGGTTGATGAGGAAGCATGGTATTCGGGTGAATCTTAGGCCATTAGCATTGAAGAAAGTTATTACAGTTCTGCTCCTGTCCGCTCTTTTTAGTGTTGTGAAGAAGGGTGTTAGAATGTTTCTGGGAGCATAGCCTTTATCGAAGAAACAAGATAGGGAGAAATCAGGGGAGAAAGGAGAGTACAGAAGTAATTAAAAAGTAAAAACTACCGGTGTAGGAATAGATGAATGTTTGCTTAGTTTGTTCAAAGAGGGGGAAACAAAAGGGGAATGTTTACACAGGATCAGGAAATAGTTTTAAAGAAAAGAAGTCAATTTTCTTCTATGTTTTGAGGTATGCTGCTTTAAGGGTTTGTTCGCCTTGCTTTGTAACTAAGGTCTAATAGTATGATATTGTGCAGCTCTTGAGGGTTTCTCCTTTCTTTTGTTTGCTTACTATTTTCAGTAAGCTTCTTACCTGAGTCATGTACAACACCTTTTGTAATTTTGTTCTGAATGTGAATATATGTTTCTCACATGAGTTTTACATTATCCACTATTATAGAATGGATGCACTGAAATACGCTTCTGGATACAATTTGCTTTATTTCGAAGGATAGTTTTTAATTGATTGTTGTCGATAACATTATTTCATCGCAAAATTTGCTTTGAAGTACTTTACTTCCCATCCAGGCATGGCTGGCTTTCTGGGAGCTTTGCTGATTCTCATCCTGGAAGGGGACCATGCTTAAGCAATCTTACAGGTAAGCGATCTAATCACTAAAGAATATTCTAGTGACTGCATTTTTATGCTGTATGAAGATTCTAAGAGAAAAAGTGAGCCTCGTAGAAGAGATGCTTCTTTGGTTCACCTTCCTCTTCTTCTATGTAAAACATACTGCACCCACTATACACATAGTTGTTCAGAAGATTGCAACCTGGTTTGATCTTCCCTGTTGCCTTTGCGTAATCACTGATAGTCATTTCCTCTAGAGATGCCCCTTTTTCGCTTCCGAGCTTTACGTGGGTCATGGATACCTTTCTGTACATTAGATGTACCCCACATCTCCTTACTACTAAAGGTCTTGCTTGAACTGAAACATCAACTTTATCCCCACTTCCTATCAGACCTTTGTCGAATTTCCAGTGACTCAGCCATAACATTTCATTATTGCCTTCTGGGATCCCTAGAATGATTGGATAGTAAACCCACTTCTCGCCTTTGGTTTGGTTTGTGATTCTGGCCACAAATTCGATCCAATCTCTGTCCACAGATATCTCTCTGGAAGGTTTTGAGTCATCATAGCCATATATGACACAGAGGTTCAGTCCACAGAGCTCGTGGCCTGGAACCACATGCACTTGAAATTGTAGAATTGACCCTTCCTTTTGGTGATGGAACCAGCTTGGTAGCTCTCTTCCTGGAAGGTAAAGATTGGATATCCCGCATTCATGCAGTATCTGTCCATATGTGCTTGTCGTTAGAACATGACTAACAGGAAACTATAGGAGTCGAGTGAATTTAGCTCGGACACAAATTATAATCTTGATGCAATGTTTTTGACATATCTGAAAGTTAGTTACTAAAGTAATAGATGTGAAATGTTTAGGTGCTAACAATAGTTACTCAGACATATCTATCCAGCCAACCCAATGAGTTTGGGTGAAATGGGGTTTTGGATTAGATAGATACTGAATGGGTAGTATTTTCCTCCTGTACAGGAAACAGAAACAAGTAAAGCAGAACAGCATGAAATGGTTGGCATCGATGGATCACCTGGAGACTAGATGCCTTCATTGTTGTTGACGTGAGCATATTAATCAGTGTCACTAATATTTTGTCTGCAGATTCCAAATGGTATAGCCCAGATTGGTTGATCAGCTCAATAGCATCTTCTCCAGCAGGCTCCAGCTTGAATATTCCCTGGATTTCGACGAGCTCATTGCAATAGATGATGCTCAAAAGCAACAAGTTATAGAAATTTGGAAGATTTGTGAGCCTCCGTAACAAGTTGCAGTGGAACACATTCAGCTTCTCCAAACTCCTTGGGAGCTCCGGAAGCCATATCAGGCTGTTACATCCAGATAAGTCCAGGCTCTCGAGAACTGAGAGATTTGCGAAGGTCTCGGGAAGCTGCCTAATAGGATTTTTGCTGAGGTTCAGTGTTTTCAAACAGGGCAGGCATTTGAGGTCTTTAGGAATTGTGTTGTCATAAATGTTGCAGTTGCTGAGGCTTAAGCTCACCAATGAATATGGCAAAACAGAAACTGAAAAAGTTGTTAGTTTCTTCTTATGTGATTGATTCACTGCAACTCCATCCATGTGAAGTGACTTGAGGGATTCCATCTTCCATGGCTTTATTGGGAGATCAAGATTTGTGCAACCAGATAAGACGAGTTTTTCGAGGGATAGTAGTTCAAAGTTGTTTGGAAGTCTTCTAAGGCTCATGCAATTTTTCAGATTTAGAACTGCAAGCTTTTTGAGATGGACTATGGATTTGTTGATCTCTAGCAGACGGATGCAACCCTTGAGTACTACTTTTTCCAGGCTAGGTAGGCTGAGAAAGTCTGGAGTCCTTACGAGATCATGAGAGTGACTCAGGTTCAGGATCTTCAACTCTCGGAGAAACTGGTAAGACAAAAAGCAATAAGCTTACGTTTCAATGGAGAATATATATCCTTGATTTAGTTCATTTATTTTCTTACCTTTAGTCCTTTCCAGGCAAACTTGAGGCAGCTGTGACGCATATCAAGCACAACGAGCTTCTCCAAATGCCAAGCTTGAGGTATGGATGTCAAGGGGAATCCTCGCCAGAACAACCAGATCAAGCTTCTGGGGAGATCCCTGTATTCTTCTCCCTTGAGCTTAACATGACCGAGCTTCAGCAATCTCAGCCTGCTCATCTTTGCAAGCGCTTTCGTCTGAAACTTCATCATCCCATCTGGCAACTTTCTGGATCCATCAGCCTTTCTGCACCACCTGAATAACCGGAGAAGGCATTTCCTGGAAGAATCTTCATCAGGACTTCCATGGCCGTGTTCTTCCAAGTTCAGGGATAGTCCCCTGACTCTTTCAGTCCCCTGTTTTTTTCCAAGCCAGAGTTAGAAAAACCGCAGAGAGAGAATGGAAGAACAACAGACTTCCCAAACTTACAGTGCTCTCTCTCAAAGCTTCAATGGCATCCTTCTGCCGCCACAACCTGCTGCGCTCTCCTGGATTCTCGGATTCGTCGAAAACAATAGCTCTCCCCATGTCCCGAACCAACTGATGCATCCTCACCCTACGATCTTCATCGACCGTCACAAGGTAACGATCCATCAAGCTCTGAATCGTGTATGCTGCGCTGATTTCGAACCCATTCAGTATGTTCACTACGTAATCTTTCTTCATCCCAACAAAGAAGCAGGCCACATCGAGGAACACTCTCCTATGGTGATCATTCTCCAGCGAATCGTAGCTGATCTTCAGAATCTTCAGAACTTTCCTTGGAGGAATCGTCTCCATTTCTTCCAGCGCACTCTCCCACAGCTCTATGCTCTTGTTGGCGAGTGAAGAGCCCAGAACTTCCAAAGCTAAAGGCAGACCCTGACAGTAGTTTGCGACAGATTTTGAGTGCTTCACGTGGCTCCTCAATGGGTGATGCTGCCCGAACGCATGCCAGCTGAATAGTTCCAGCGAATTGGTTTCGTCCAGCGGCTCAACTCGGAACTTGGTGGTCATGTCACTTCGCCTGAAGTTATATGATTATCAGAATCGATAATTTACATAAATTGTAAAGTAGTAACATTGGGAAATCATAAATATGGAATCGTTAAACCTGAACAGCGATTCGTGTCTAGTCGTCACGATGATTTTGCTTCCTCTGCAGCAGCAGTCTCTAGCTCCAAGTATGGCGTCCAATTGGTCGACTTCATCAACATCGTCGAGAACTAGGAGAACCCTTTTGAAGCAGATGGCGTCCCGGACATGTTGAATTCCTTCATGTAAGTTGTTGAATCTATTTATTTTCACATCACCACCTTCATTTCCTGAAACATCCATAACCAGCTGCCTTTGCAGGTGGACTAACCCGTTGTGTTGCTCTGAAGCTTCCTTCACATTCGCTAAGAAGCTTGACCCATCAAACTTGTCGAAGCTCAGGTTATAAACTGCCTTTGCAATGGTCGTTTTCCCGACCCCACCGATCCCGTAGATTACAGCCAGGACGCCATTACTGGCGGAGCTGCACTCGTCACTCTGCAGCACCCATGAGCTGATGCGGTTAATGTGATGATCGACGCCAACAAGATTGGAAGGAACATGAAGCGGCACACGGGTAACTCTGCTTCTCACTTTCTCAACTATATCTTGGATGAACCGTGCCTCGTACCCAATGCAGTCAAAAGCGCGATTCTACCTAGAAGCGGAAAATGGGTAAAATCGTAAAGCGTAGAATTAAAGCGTAAAAACGTAAGTTTTTTACGCATACCTTAATATAACGAAAAATGTGTTAAGTACGATAAAATATGAGTGGACATAGTTTAGATAAGTTAATAAATACTTGTAATTCATGTCTAAAGTTGAGAAACTCACAACATTTTAACAATAAGTTAATAAACATATATCTTAACAATAAGCTACATTCCCCTCTATGCTAGTGAATTTGGGAAGGGCATTGCTGGTGAATTAGATTGCTCTATTGAAACTAAGAATGCAACCAAGTACTTGATATGTATCTTTTAATCTCAAATATATCATATTTTTTGTGATTTACCTTTAAAATATAAGTATTTTCATGAATAGAATACTCTTTTAGTGAAGTAGAAGCGTAAAAGCGTAAAGCGTTTTAGTGAACCAGAAGCGTAAAAGCGTAAGCTTTTAAGCTTTAAAGCGCATTTTAGTCCCGATTTTATGCACTTAAGATTTTATATGGAAACGAAAGCGTTTTGGTGTCCTAGAAGCATAAAACCGTAAGTTTTTAAGTTTTAAAGCGCGATTTTGACTGCATTGCTCGTACCTGCCATGCATTCTACTGAGTTAACGAAATATCGTGTTCCAAAAAAACAATTAGAACATGGTAACTTGTTCACGCCAAGCTACCAACGTGCATCATGTATGTATCTTCTCACGCAACTCTCCATTTTCTCCTTCATTTTTCATCGAATAAGAGAAAAGTTTCGAAAAGTGACTGCGTACCCATTTTGCAAGACTAGTCCTGCAATTTCTGAAACCTGAAGAAGTGCTTCCTTCCACACACCAACTATCTCCATTTCTGCAGAACCTTTGGCGAAGCAGCTTCCCATTTGCTTGGCCAAATCAGCAGGATTGACGTCGTAGTAGACGGGAACAACGACGTGGTATGGAGCTGATCGACGATGCTCTTCCATGATCATGGCCAGCTCGTCGAGGCACCAAAACGAGGAAGTGTAGTCCTTGGAGAAGACGATGATGGAGACTCTCGATTGTCGGATGGCTTGTTTGGTTTCTTCGCCTATGTTTTTGCCACGGTTGATGTCGTTGTCGTCTTTGAAGGTGTGGAAGCCTTCCTGCTTCAGGGCTCTGTGGAGGTGGTCAGTGAAGTTCCTGCGGGTGTCTTTGCCTCTGAAGCTGAGGAAGACGTGGTAAGTGAAAGGTGGCATGGTATTGAGGGAGGTTTGGTGGGATCGTTTCTGGTCACAGTGGGAAGTGGTTGCAGAAGGAATATGAAAGTTGGGAAGAGGGTTGAAGTATATTTATAGTAAAATTATGCGTTCAAATCACTCTCGTCAGAAGGTTACAGAATGTTGTCTTTGGATCTCGCTAAGGTTAGGATGATAATTCTTTTATAGGCATTTCTTTCACATTGAGTGTGAGTTGAGTAGAGATAGTAAGATACCTATTACACCATCAACAACTATGAAATAGCATATTTATTTTATATGTGGTTCTTACCGTTATCGTTACAATTTTATTTTTTAACTTTCACTTCATCTATATTCATGAAATCTATTCCCAATTCCCTATGGTGAATCTCATTCACATTTATAATATAACTAAATGATTTTAACGGTCATCACTTTAATGAGTATATGTGCATTTGACTATCTAAACTGTCAGTTACGGGAGGATTCTAACCGTTTCAGACTATGGTTGAAATCGGCCCTTCAAACTTGTGGAGTAAACTACCTTAACCGATGCCCTGTCTGCTGGAGACATCGAGAAAGCATCGAACATTTATTCTTCAGATGCCCCCTAGCCATTAGATTGTGGACTTTAGTGGGATTGAGTAACTTTATTGAGACCGCCTAGATTGTTAACTTTAGTCTATGGCGGCGACATGTCATGGTCTCTGTGACCGCTTCATTCCACATTCTCCAATGCATCTGTTTACTTTGGAGAATCTGGAAGTCTAGAAATAAAGTGACCTTCAAATTTTACCAACCTCATGTCCGTTCCCTTGCCAGCCAGTTCTACAACCAGGTCCTCGAAGTCTCCTATATTTTCCTTCCTCCTCCACCCCGTAGTTCTACTCCCAAACCATCCTGCCACCTCTTGGGTCCCTCCGCCAGAAGACTTTTTGAAGATCAACTTCGATGCTGTTGTTTGTGCCACCGGGTGTTCGTCTGGGCTTGTTATCCGTGGGTCGGACGGGCATGTGGGCTGCAGCTTCAAGGAATTGTCAATCCTTTCTTGGCAGAGCTTCTAGCCTTTAGAGATGCTATCTCCATCATAGCCTCAAGATCCTTGACCCGCGTGATAGTCGAAGGTGATCCCGAAGTGGTCGTCAAACAAGTTCGTCAAGGCGTCATAGAAGACTCGATTGGTGGCCTGGTGTTAAGAGAGTGTCATCAGATCCTTAGCTTTTTGTCTGTTTGTATAGAGTTTAGGGTGGTACCTAGATCCGCCAACAGTACTGCCCATAAAGTGGCGCGTAAAACACTGATTTTGTCTCTAGAGGTAGAATCTTTTGATTTTTTGGGTGGCTTCTTTAGAGTCTTTTAGGGGTCCTGGGTAGAATTGTAAGTTTAACTATTTTCCTCCATTGATATCACTCAGGAAAAAAATATAACTAAATGATTTATATACTCTAACCAATTAAAGTTGATCCACTTTGCCTCTTCCAAGTTCCATGTTGCATTTCATTTAATGAAATCTTCTAAAAATGAAATAACATGCTACACCAATGAAATGGTAATGGAATTGTCATGTCACAATGAAATAGGTAATAAGACGCTCATTGTGGATGTTCTTATCGTGGATATACATTGAATGGGTTTTCTCCAAGCCGATATAGAAAGTGATGAGTTGCTCTTTTGTATTTTAACTTTTGAGTATACGAGAGAATTCATCTGAACGAGTTGTGTTAGCTTAACACTTTAGTCATTCATATTTCTTAAATATTATAATTATCGTGTAGACCAAAATTTTGCTCAATGCCCTTCGGTTTTATAAATAATGTCTTAACAAAATTTAAAAGTAGTTTTTTTTTTATCTTAGTAAAATTACAACTTGATACATTATCACAGTTTTATAAATAATGTCTCTCTACAATTTTTTACACCAAAAATACCCTTTTACTTTAGAAAATTATCAAACATACTCTTTTATTTACATTTCCTTCTAAAACCGTCAATTATAGTGATACTGTTAGGAGTATTGAACTATACAAAGGGAAACCAAAAACGGTTAATGAAATTATTAGGGGTGTTTTAGATATTTGTGTCCCCAAATCACGGTTTGACCATGGTTGACAACTTTTTGATGAAAATTATAACAGAAGAGCATATTTGATAATTTTTCTAAAATAAAGGAGTATGTTTGATCTAAAAAGTATTTGAGAGCTATGCTTTTTAAAAATGCAGAATAGAGAGGCATATTATACTCATCAGCCATAGTTAGTCATAGAGCATTTGTGATAATCTACAATAATCGAACCCACAAATTAGCCATGGACGATGGCTCGACAACCTACAAACATAACCCATTAGGCATAGTTAGGGGTGAGCAACAGTTTGATCCCTATCGGATCGCGACAGACCAAACTAATGATTGAACCGGATCATACTGAACCGAATAATGTGTGGGTTCCCTTTTGGTCTCATGAATTTTATAATTATTAGAGAAAATTGAAACGAATTAACATTTGAACCAAACCAAATTGAACCCAATACACTATTAGCTCGATCCTTGATGATAATATGTTTTTCATTATTGAATTGTGATTCTTGCTCTTTATTAACCGTTGTAGCCACAGCCAAGACTGACATGATCTGCCCTAAAATAAATATAACTACGCTGTGGCGTGTGAAACACTTCACCTAAACCCCCACTCCATTTCCACCATTGCATGCACAAGCTGCCACCTGGCAGCCAGCTCACGCTTTCAGCCGTACACTGGAGGGAACATCCTCGTGAATTTGCGAGTCGAACTTAGAGAATTGGGTTTATGTCGTATTTGGTCGTTGAGATTATTAAATCGTGTCATGTTTAGTCACTAGAAAAATTTAATATAAATTTTGGTCATTTAAATTACTGAGACATGTCACATTTAGTCACTCTTCCGTTAGTTTCTGTCCAACTCCATTACTAACGGAAGAGTGACTAAATGTGACATGTTTCAGTAATTCAAGTGACCAAAATTGATATTAAATTTTCTAGTGACTAAACATGACACGATTTAATAATCTCAATGACCAAATGCGACATAAACTAACGGAGTTGGACAGAAACTAACGGAAGAGTGACTAAATGTGACATGTTTCAGTAATTCAAGTGATCAAATGTGACATGTTTCAGTAATTCGAGTGACCAGAGTTGGACGGAGGCTAACGGGAGAGTGACTAAATGTGACCTGTTTCAGTATTTGAGTGACGAAAATTAATATTAAATTTTTCTAGTGACTAAACATGATGAGATTTAGTCATCTCAATGACCAAATTTCGCATTTACCCGACTTGAATTGTTCACCAAATCCTTGACGTCGCAGTTCTTACCCATTATTACCGGCTAATATATACACACACTTGATGCAGTTTGGTGATGGCCATAATGTCAAAGCATAAGACCCACAAAGCCAATTTAACTAAGGATTGAAAACAGTAGCCGATGGATGGACACTTTTCCCCGGTTCCGGTCGTCTTCTTCCGTTTGTCTCCGGCGGACACGTACGATGAGCCGTGATAGATATGCCAATTGGTGCACGATTTCTTCTTTCAATTTTCAAGGTCGTCAATGAAAGACTTGACGGATAGGTTGAAATTTGAAAGAGAACAAGACTCAGAGAGCTGTCAAAGAAAAAGGGATTCGATGGCGATGGTCATGCCACTCCTCCCCTATATAATTACACCATTAACTAAAGCATCCCTCTAATATTTTTCTGAAAAACGAAAATACACTGAGGGGGTGTTTAAGCCCAATCCTAGTAGTCATTAGATCAATGATTATAAATCTAATGGTAAAATTAAGGAAAAGAATATATTTAATTAATGATTGAACAATGGCTCGGACTAATGGTACTACTATCATTGGTGTTGAATCTGGAGGTCTTTGGTTCGAATATTTTCAGTAGTACCTTATAAAAGTGTATAATCATATCATGAATAACACAAAAAAAAACTAATATTACACGTTATACAAACCAGATCATAAAAAAATATACAAATTAATAATACAAACTATACAAATTAGATGGTAAAAGTGTAAAAGATCAATAATTGATGGTATATAATGTAAAGCAATGATAAAAGACATACAAACTGTCAAACCAATAACACAAACTATAAGCTGGCCTGTTTGGTTTTGCTCTGTTTTGGTTTTCGTTGTTGTGTTGTATGCTCCCCTTGGTCCGGCTTTAGGTTCCAAGATCCAGCACATCGATATACCCGCTCCCCTCAGATGGTTCGCCGGCGTCGGAGCCGCCGCTACGCCTTCTATGATGGTGCGGCCTCGTCGGAACTATGACAGCCTCCGTCCTGTATCTCCCCGATGGTCAGGCGGTGGCGGTCAAGCGGTGAGATGGATAATCATCAAGGAAAGGGCTTTTGACGTGGCAACAATGAAGAAGGATACGTGGTTTTATTTTGTCCTCATTAAGTGGGGATGGTTGCAGCTCCACCTGGGCCTTGGGCCTGTACAAATATTTCTTCCAATTTTTGGGCATGCTTGCCCAACGTGGCTGTTTTTTTATTTGTGCAGGGGAATAGTGATTTTTCCACTTTTTGGCCTGGGCCTCTTGTTTTTTTCATGTGCAGTGCCGTTGAATTTCAGCTTTGATCAAGTGGCGCGTGGCTTTCCTGGGCTGAAGGTACAGAGACCATAAGACGGTGTGGTGTAGCGGCGGAAGCTTATATCTTTTTTTCGGTTTCAGTGTTTTTGTCACTCTGTTCTTAGGAACTAACAGAGCTGTCCATTTAGTGGCATAAAGGGCTCTTTCATCGACAGAGCATTAGTATCGACTGTCGTTACTTTTATCTATTGTAATCATATCTGTCTACTATTTCATCTGACTATGATAAAAAAAAAAAACACAAACTATACATATTTTATTATAAAAGTATACGAACTAATAAAAAACAAACCAATAGAACAAAATATATATAAATCTTATTATAAAAGTATAAAAATTAAAAACTAATGATACAAAGTACACAAATTACATAAA